TATTAACAAACCTAAATCCTCTTCCCTTTCCATGCAAGGATGTGCAAGAGACGGGAATTCACAGCACTTGAGACAGCATGTCAGTGCTTTAGCCGCCTTTGTAGGCAAAGCACCCAAAAGAAGAAATTAAAGTCTACAACTAAGCCAGTTACACACCCCTCTTATGTTTAATCAAACGTCTGTCCTAGTGTGCTTCCCGTTGCCAAGAATAAGACACTTCTATAAATATAATCAAAACGATACCAGTTTGGCATCCTGTTTAGCAGTCAGAGCGGCCAGTGAAGTCCTTACAACTCTTATGGTGAAAACGTGGGTGGCTCTGAAAAGAGCCTTTGGGTCAGGAGTCAGGCCGCGGGCTCGCGCCTCACTTGGAGCTGGTGTACTTGGTGACGGCCTTGGTGACCTCTGACACGGCGTGCTTGGCCAGCTCGCCGGGCAGCAGCAGGCGCACGGCCGTCTGGATCTCGCGGGACGTGATGGTCGAGCGCTTGTTGTAATGCGCCAGGCGCGACGCCTCGCCCGCGATGCGCTCGAAGATGTCGTTGACGAACGAGTTCATGATGCCCATGGCCTTGGACGAGATGCCGGTGTCGGGGTGCACCTGCTTGAGCACCTTGTACACGTACACCGAGTAGCTCTCCTTGCGGCTGCGCTTGCGCTTCTTGCCGTCCTTCTTCTGCGCCTTGGTCACGGCCTTCTTGGAGCCCTTCTTCGGGGCGGGCGCCGACTTGGCGGGCTCCGGCATTTTAATTCAAAAGAGAAAAGCTGCAAAGGAAAGCGGAAAACTGTAAAATGTCCGCCCGGGTCTACAGCGTCTTCTTTTATAGAGAAGTTATGCAAATGAGGTCCTCAAGCAACTCCAGATCTGATTTGATGATGTGTCGGTGACGAGCTCATGTAAATTCACTTGCATCTTATCACCTTTCTCATTGGTCGGCGGGGCCTGAGATAATTTTGAACCAATCCCGTATCGCGTTTAACAATCCCACCCAGGACTATAACTTGCGTCCTGTTGCTTCCTCCCGGACATTTCTCCGTTTTCTCTTCGTGTGGCTCCTCTCCTGCTGTTACTGGTCAGCATGTCTGGACGCGGCAAGCAGGGCGGCAAGGCGCGCGCCAAGGCCAAGACGCGGTCCTCGCGGGCCGGGCTGCAGTTCCCCGTGGGCCGCGTGCACCGGCTGCTCCGCAAGGGCAACTACGCCGAGCGCGTCGGGGCGGGGGCGCCAGTTCCCCGTGGGCCGAGCGCGTCGGGGCGGGCGCGCCCGTGTACCTGGCGGCCGTGCTGGAGTACCTGACGGCCGAGATCCTGGAGCTGGCGGGCAACGCGGCGCGCGACAACAAGAAGACGCGCATCATCCCGCGCCACCTGCAGCTGGCCATCCGCAACGACGAGGAGCTCAACAAGCTGCTGGGCAAGGTGACCATCGCGCAGGGCGGCGTGCTGCCCAACATCCAGGCCGTGCTGCTGCCCAAGAAGACCGAGAGCCACCACAAGGCCAAGGGCAAGTGAGGACCCTGCGTTCCTTTGGCAACAACGCACACAACTAAACCAAAGGCTCTTTTCAGAGCCACCCACCTTCGCACTGAAAGGGCTTGCATTTTCCCGACCTTAGCAGCTAATTGAAATCATGCTTGCAGCATTTCCCAGCCACTTGAAAGTTACAATAAAAACCAAGTCACCATCAGTTAAAGTGCTGTAGGTGCTCCATATTATAGTTAAGGCGATCAATGCAACACGCTTCGGGGTTGAAAGTGAAAGGCTTCGGTCCCTTGCACTCCCCAGTATGAAGGGGACGAGCTGCCCACTTTTCCTGAGAAGGTGAAGTCTTTCCGGCCAGGAGACGTGTCTAAATCTATGTTTTGCTCACAGCCGCTGGGTAAGGTTTTAATGTACCTGCCACAAGTGCTTAGTTCATTTTTTTTAAGCCATTGGTCCCACTTTGTACAAAATTTGGGAAAGATTCATGACACTAGTTTCTGGCGTCCCCTTGTACCGAAGGTAATTGCGATTGTGTGGCAGGACATCAGTTAGGACTGCCCGTGACATGCTAGGAATCGTTCTGTGGACATGTCTGCTCTGCATTCCTCATATATAGGCTGCATTTTCCAGTAAACTCGCTGTCAGCCTCAAGTATGAATAAAAGAAATGATAGAACAAAGGAGGGGTAGCTGACCAATCACAGGTCAGGGCGGGCTTTTTGAATTTCACTGGTGACGGCATTCTTAACATTTTTTCGTCCCCTGGTCATTTGTCTCCTTAGAAAACAATGAATGAAGCCCTCATAAGTCAGCACTGAATGAACCCTAGCTTTCATGGACTCATTTTGGAGTATAAGCTCAACAGACATTTCCATTTTATATCCACCTTTAGTGGGAAGCTGATCACATTTCTCAAGGAAGCAAACAAGACCACTTCAAGCACAGCCACGGGCCTACGAACCAGACTGCCCTGTTGCTGCAAATAAAGCCGGAACCCCCACCAGTGCTCTGGGCCAGTGTCCTGGTCTCTGTACCTCACGGCTCAGCCTGTTGTGACCCCTGAACTGACAGGCTCATTGCCAACGCACCGAAGTCGTGGGGGGCCGTACACCCTCCTGTAGTGAGGAAGAAACAGACTTGCAATCCTCAGGGTCCGAGCGCAGGGAAATCAAACGAGAGGAGTTGTCAGCGAGCCTCTCGCTTCGCTGTGCGGCCTCAACAGCACATGGAGGCCTGGTTTATGTCAGAGAGAGAAACTGGTCTTTGTGCGCTGAGCTATGACAGCTACCAACATGCAAAATCCAAAACCATACACCACGCCTCAAAAGCACAGTAAATGTTCTTATGGAGAATTAATTGTTAAGGGAACCATCAGGGAGAAAACCTAGTTCAAAAGGAGATTGTCTAGACTGTGCACAGGAAAGTGAAGGACACCAGAGTAGTCACCCCACAGTATGCCTCTGGGACACAAAAGTGATTTTGAGCTGAGGCATCAGGTGCAGGATGAGCTCTCTCTTCCATCCCCTTTTCCTGCCTAAAGTCAGGACATACATTGTGGAGACCACTGGGTCCTCAGTGACTGGTGACAGCCCACGGGCACAAGAGGAACCTGCAAACGAAGCTGACTCTTGCTTTCCTCACATATATTTTACCTCCCCAGTTTACCATCCTTCGAAGCCTAAAGCTGCATCCTTTCTCCTGTTCTTTCTGTAAAAAAAAAAGACTACTTTGTTGAGGATGCTTTATAAATGGGAGCTCTAAGGCACATCTGTGAATTAATCTTTCCTCGGTCTCTCCTAGGTATACCTGGTATATGAACTATACACGTTAATACTAGTAAACCTGATTTTCTTTTTTTTTAATTTTTTTCTATTGATTAAGGTATTAGATGTGTTCTTATCTCCCCAGCGAAACCTGATTTTCTTTTTTTAAATATATTTTTTATTTCAGAGAGGAAGGGAGAGAGAGAAACATCAATGATGAAAGAATCATTGATCAGCTGCCTCCTGCATGACCCCTACTGAGGACCACACCCTCAACCCTGGCATGTGCCCTTGACTGCTGTGGAAAGTGGCTACAGTGTTTGGACAGGTTCAAGCCTCAGACTAATGAGAAGGCACAGTCCGCTCATGGCCACGTGCAAGTCTCAGCTTGGAGGGCAGAGCCCTCCCAGCACAGTTATAGCCAACAGCTGTAGTTGTGAGCTTGAACCTATGGTTCGAATATGTGGCCCCACGTGTCTGAGTGATGTGGGCTTGATAGAGTTCAGGTGCATGTAATTGAGTAGAATCGAAACCCACGAGAATGTTGTAAACATCTTGATCACGCCCTTACTTTGCCTGGTGGAATCTGGCTTTAAAATAAAGACACGTCTTGTAGTCCGTGCTGCTGTCTCCATCCAGGAGCAGCGTCCCACCCAGACCCAGCTCGTTCTCTAGTCTTTTCTCGATCCTTCATCAGCCCCACTCGGGCTCACTGACCCTGGCTGAGTGGCGTGGCACGTAAGGCTCCCTGGGGCTGAGTATGCCATGGCCGAGCTGGCTCACCACAGACCGGAATTAACCTGGGACTTTTCAGTCCTCAGGCCCAGGCTCTATCCAGCGAGCCAACCAGCTAGGGTGACACCTCATTTTCTTATCTCCGTTTCTCTTGGCCTTTACCTAAATTTCAGAAACAATACATTTTTTCATGGACATGTTCTTTACTTCCCCTGAATGGTGGCTTGTCTTCTGTTTTGCACTACTGGAATGCAAAGTCTCTTGTACAGAAGCTTAAGGTCTCCTAGACAATAATTGCTTTAATAACCAGGTGTGGATGCTTACTCTCAAAAAAAAACACACACCTATTTGGAACAAAAAGGTTAGCCACATTGAATTCTAAGGTCAGCATCTTTCTAGTATCCATCCTGACTTGCAGAATATGCCGCCTCAAAATGAGCCACTTTGCCACATGGGTTATTGTGAGCTACAGTCAATCCACTCCCAGCAGAAGCACTAAAACCGTGTGCCTCTTCCTCACCTACCTGAAAGAACATAAACAGGGGCCTGTCCCCAAAAGCGATCTTCTGCGGCAGATAACTTCCATCCGAGTGACCGAGTGGCCGAGGGCAGGAGACATCCGATGACCCACACCTGCTCCTCCTGGTGACGTGCCCTCCCTCTGCCCTGAAGCCATGGCCCCCATTCCACTCCAGAGCTAATGGTGGCAGACAAGCCTCAGTTACCCGACTGCCTTTGGCCCCATGATTTTTTTAACCCGAAATACCCAAAATACTCTTATTTCAAAACGTAACCCTTATTATTATAATATTTTTCATTCCTTCTTTTCAGCCTAAATCTTCCAAACTGGGTACATGTTTTATGCAATCTGATATCATTTTTTTCTCGTAATACTTGATATACATTTACATTCCCCAAATTGTCCTGCCGAGAAAATTAATTTCACTTGCCCAAGTGGTTCAAATGTAGCTCAACAGTTTCAATAACTCAGGGCAGCATCTGCTTCTAAATTGAAAACAGCAATTAAAATTACATAAAATTGAAATTTCGGTTCCTCACCTTCAGCCACATTTCAAATGCTCAAAGGTGGTTCTGAATACTTTTCCAGAAACTGTGGTCCGAGGGGGAACTGTGTGGGGGCATGGAAGTGTGATGGAGACTGATGGTTAAATCTGGGAAACACAGGGTGGGGCAAAGGTAGGCTTACAGTTGCTCATATGAATGAGAATACAATCACTAATAAATAATAATAATACAAGAATAAACTCGTGTTCTGCATACCCACAACTGTAAACCTGCTTTTGCACCACTCTGTATATACATTTAAATGTTACCCTGTAAATTTAGCATTGATGACAGAAATCGTACACTTGCTTTTGATACAGAGATATAGACATGATGAAAGCAAAGGACTGTAGGACCAGATTGCCAAGTACCAGACTGAAAGGTTCAAGGTCGCTGGGGACAATAAACCGCGGGGGCGTGAAGATGACTTTTCTTAGGAAATTGCAGTGGTCCGCCTAAGAAACCGCCAGACCTGTGGAGAACTGTACACCAGGACATAAGCTGGGAGGCAAGTTCTCAAATGCCCTCGGAGTGACAGGTTTGTGTTTTCTATGCATTTACAGTTGGGGAGGAGATGGGAGGAAGATTACATGAAGATCAGATTAATGTTTCTCCCTCCCTCCCCTTTCCTCTCTGAAATCAATAGAAAATTTCTTTAAAAAGATTGGAGAAAACAAGGCGTGTATCCAAACTATTAAAAAGATTATGTGCTCCCTGGAGGGGAGGTGGTTAAACCTCCAGGGGCCTGAAAATGAAAAGGGGTTGGTTCGGGCAGGTCAAAGGTGGGGTGACCCAGGTGCAAAGAACAATAATGCGCAGGGCGGGCTTCCGGCAAAGACAGCCTCTTACTGAAGGTTTGTGGCTGGAGCGTGTCCTGTGCCAAGACCTGCCCAGTTAGAACTGACGATACGATTACCCGCGGTTACTTCTCAGAGAAGCGCTTTAACCTCCTCGATGACCGTGCAATACTTGACCAAACAGTTACTTTCGCGTGCCAAACACCAACATTTCCATTCTAAAAATGAAACGAAAGTCAAGATGAGAGAACCGGGGTCCTGGACCTCAGAAGGCGGGGTGCAGGGAGTGTTGAGGCCCACGCAGTGGGGTCCAGGCCCACGCAGTGGGGGCCCAGGCCCCCAAGGACAAGCACCCCAGGTCGCTCCAGCTCTTTCCTGCATCCCTGGAGCTACGTGCCGACATCGCCACGTGACCCTCCTGTAAAGTGTGCAAAGACGCCCCTCGGGACAAGGGAGCGGGGACTTCTCCCGTTAGATCGGCGTTTAAAGCACCAGCCCATGTGCCAACATGGCCTCTGCCTGCTCCGCGGGGAGTAAGACCCCGATAATTTAAACCGAAAGACACGCTAGTCTGACGTAGGTACAATCATCTCGGGACGTGGATACACAACAGCATTTTTAAAAGGTCCCTCCGCGGGGCCTTGGCAACGGATCGGGAAGGAGCTGGGCGCACGGAGCCGCCTTTGTCTCCGCCGGCCCCGCCCTAAGACGCGAACGCGCGGGGCGGAGACGGACCCCAGGCCCCGCCCACCCTCGCCGGCCGGGTTATAAATAGGGTTTCGGCTGCCGGT